ATTCTTCCCCAAACATTGTTTACAGCTTCCTTAAGTAAAATGCAACTTCCTGCCTCATATTGGGCTGCTCTTCGCGACAGGAGTAATCATAGATTGATCACATTTGAAATCCTGCCCTTTTCATTTCGCCTCCATGTTCTCATTACATTTTCTATGCCCAAGAAATAATTTGTAATATAACTTGTAGATTTTGAGACACCATGACATATGTTATTAGTTGACTCGCTCCTCTGTGTGGCTAAAATTCTCATTCCAAATACATTCTTATTAAAAGTTATAGACCACTTATGTCTAATCTTGTACATATCATATAACCAAATATTGTCCTGGAGATTACCTGTCTCAATCATCACCCTCCATGTATCATCAAATTCCTCTTCAGACTCGCATTTTCTCAAGCATTTATAAAAAAAAGATTACTGACAATCCTATTTCGCACGCCGCAATGAACCTTTGTAGGCAATTTCTTGTATATGTGCCACTGACATAATCTATGTCGTATATTTTTGGCAAAATTTCTGCTATTACTCTAGCCATAGCCTGATCCTAATCAGTGTAGATTGTTATTGGATGATTATCACCCATGATACAAATGAAGGTTTTAAAAAGCCATTTGAACGAGTCTGTCGTCTCCTCCGACAAGAATCCGACTCCAAATAAAATATTCTGCTAATTGTGGTTAACACCAACAATAGGAGCAAAACATAGGTTATATTTATTTAACCTATAGCTCGTATCAAATATAATCACATCTCCAAAGCAGTCATAATCAAGCCTGGATGTCCCATCGCTCCAAAAAAAACTCATCAGTCTGCCGCTCACATCAGTTTCAAAATCTCATTCAAACATGCTATCCTCAGCACGTCTCTTTACAAACAACTGCAATAAAGTATTCACATCACCATTTTCAATTCTACATCTCCTCTCCCTTTGAATAAAATTGAAAGCATCTGTCTTTATGCATTCCAGGTTCTCTACACCACCAACTTCTTGGGCTAGGAAGTTAAACGCGTCTTTTGGTCTAATCCCAGATTGTGTCATGGATCTAAGCACATCGGCATTTACTTCACTTATCTTTCTGCTGGAACGCAACGAGTGCTTGTCAACGGGGTTTGCTAGTGAGTGGTTATGCAATTAAGTTAATTTTTTAACTGTCAAATTGCCTTTCTCATCAACTCTGTATCGTATCATTGCAGGACAACCAGTTCTTGTTTCTGCTCTTATATATTTAACAGTTTCTATAATCTTGAGCTCTTTCTTGAAACCTACTTTTCCACATACGAAGTCCTTCGTCTTGATATTTTTGGAGTTAGTCCAAAACGTAGCGTGATCCTTACGAACACTGAATCCAATATGATGAGCGTAAACAAAATATACTTCATATGCTTCTTTCTCATTGTGGACCATCGTTTAAAGTAATATGTTTTTTGTTTGCTCGGTACAACTAGCTTTGCTCTCACCAAACTGCACACATAAGAGAATAAAATGTTATTGAGTTTAATGAAGGATATATTAATTACTCCAATGTTTAATTCTCTGTTTTTATTACACCTAATACCATGCAACTATGTAAACATGCCTCCATTTAAGAAAACCATAAACTAATTATAAGAAAACATACAAAAAACAGAAGAAACATAACACAACATACATACAAAAACAGATATATCCTAAATATAAGAAAACCATAACAACAAAGAACATAAAAGAAAACCTTAAACTAATTATTATAACAACACATCTCCAAACATGCCTCCATTTTAAGTTCCACTTCTTCTGTCCTGTTCGGATAACGTTCATCTTCTCCTTCTGCGTCATGCACTGCGTCGAACATAAACTGACACTCTCTATAGTCGTACTCCATCTTCAAGTTCAAGAGGTCGAAAAGCCCGAAACTGCCACTACAAGAGAAAATGGTCAGAGAACAATGAAATAGTAAACCTAGCTGCTTAAATACCATGCTTCGCGCTCACCAATTTAAATCATGTACAGCGTAGTTACATTCAGGGTACACGTGCGGTTACAACTGAAGGGGCATAATCCTTTGTTACATGACAATTACAACATGGATACAATCTCTAATCTATGCGGTTACAAGTGCCGTTCCACTATACGAGCTTCAAAGTCTGTTATATGGCGAGCTTCAAAGTCTGTTATATGGCGGTTATAATCGAGTTACAACGATAGTACAAAAGCTACTTTCGCGGTGTTCAACGTTATAGGAAGGTTTCAGGCAAGTTACACCCGCGGAAGGTATAGTTGGGGTATATCACAGTTACAAGCGTGTTACATGACCTTGTATCGCGGAAGGTATAACTTGGGTATACTCCGGTTACAAGCGCGTTACATGACCCTGTACCGCGGAAGGTACATGACTAATATATTTCGGTTACAATCGGATCACTGCAGACCACCCGCGAGATATATGAAAGGGTATATCGGAGTTACAGATCAAGGTACAAACGAGTTATATAGAGAAATATTATATTTATTTAATACAGTGGACCCGTCGAAAATTATGTGACGTCTTCTGATTGGATATATCGCATGCAAATTTTTTCCCACATGCGGGGTAGGTGAACCTAGAGGAGGCTGTTTTTGATAAAACAAGGCGGGAGGAAAGCGAAACCCTAACCCGCTTTTCTAGATCCGAAGATAATTTCCACTCCATCGGAGCCACGCGATTTTTTACCTGCATGGCTCAGCTGCCGGCCCTTTCTTCAAGCTCCGTTTCTCAAATCTCCTCCCATGGAATCAAGAAATCCCGTATATATTCTCTTCTCCTTCTCCAAATTTCCCTGCCTTTTCAATTCGTCTTTATTAGTGTTTAGCGTTTGTTTTGTCGCTTTGGTTTGTTGCTTTTCTCGATTACGCGCATCGTTAGGTTCGAAAGTTAGTTTTTGCTATTTAGCAACACTTTTTGGTGCACATTTCATGAAGAATTTGTATTTATCACTTTGCCATTGCTTTTGTTCTCAGAACGTTTTTTTGGAACAGTTTTAACTCGTCTTTTGCAAACTGTGCGGTTTGTTTTCTCATTAATTATTCTATTGGTTTAAGTTCCTCTGTGTGAGCCCAAAAAAAGGGGTTTTTACATATGAAAGTTTGGCATTTACATATTCAGCACCTCAAAATTCATATTTACATGCACAACAACCCTTACGTTAAGTCTGTTTTCTCATTGCACTCTTCTTCGTGAGTTCCTGCATGCCGTCATCACCGAACTCAAGGAAGAAATGATCACATCCGAGATGGAGTCGCCGAAGTCCAACAAGTTCGGCGGCTCCGCCCATGCCGCACTCAGCCCCCCGCTGAGATTTCCAGCCTCCTGCGTTGCCGCGTCGAACGGTACAAAGTCATTGACTTGTCGGATTCTGTTGAACATCGTCCTCTATACATTCTACACCTTCGGTGAGGGTGAAACATAAACAAACATGTTAGGGGATGTGAAAGAAGCTTAAAATTTACAGAATAACTAATTTAAAAATCTATGATTAATCCAAAGTGCAGGATCTTAAGGGTCTGTTTGGGGCAGTTGCTGTGTAGCAGCTATCATAGGAAACTGCAGTGCAAAAATTGGTTGTCTTTTTTGCATTTTGAAAACAGCTGTGGTGCAGCGGTTTCTGGACAAATAACCATTTTGTCCCTAAATAGTAATATTATTTGCAATAGGACTGTTCATACCAATATATTCTATACTTTAAAAGCAAATATCCAGTGCAGAATATTACAAAATAAAGATAGACACATCACTTAATATTGAGTAGCATGACTACTAAAATTTAAGAAACAGACTTTTAAACCAACAATTAATATTATGATAATATTATTTTTAGATAATATTAATTTTAAAATGTAGAAGACATATGTCACAAGTTAAGCCATCCTTCAAGGATATTCTCCATGTCCGATCACTCTCAACGGTGGAATATTTCAGTCAATCTGTCCATAAAAAATAGTCACAGTTTTTCATGATTCTCCTGGGCCTCTATAGAACTCTCCCGTAACTATGTGGCTGATATGTAGTGATATGTAGTTAGCAGAGAACTTTGAAGTCAACAGTAGTAATGCAATCTTTTAGAGGTATCAAAAATACTTGAGCTAATCCTTCTTGAATGATTAAGAAAACATATTTTTAGACATAACGAAAGTAAAAATTGATAACAAAAGCAATTAATTATAGTTTGATGTAGTTGTTAGGTCTCAAAAAACTCAATATATAAACCAACGAATCTGTCACTACAAGAAGACAACAGACCTTATAAAAAAAAGATTCTTAGTTGTCTTTAACCCACGAAATTCCAAGCTTATGTGTGTCACATATACATATCACCAAAAAAAGTCATACAGAAGAATATAAAAAATCATAGCACCGAAAAAAAAAGATGAATTCGATCGTCTTCTTTAGGATTTCGCATGTGATATCAACCAATAGCAACATACATGCCATCCAAAAAAACTAATAAGATCAAAAGTCTTATCATAGACCTCCAAAACATTGTTATCCTTGAATTTTCTAATAATATTTCATCAGTCTTTCTTATTGAAATATGTTGCAGATATATTTTCTAGTTCAACCACCTTGAGGCAAATGTCACAAAATATTAATAGTCTCTTTATCTCTCATTGTAGATGAACCAACATCTTTTGTCTTAATCATTATATTACTCTAATGAAAAAACTAATTAACGTAAATATAAATGCTAAAATATCCCAACCCAAATAAAAATAGGTGCCACAATAACCACCAATGCCCCTCGACATTATACTACAACACCACCTACACATCACCTCCCAAAACATCAAGGCACCAACACATCCACAATACCACCACTACCTCCACACACTAACATCTCCACACAAACACAACCACAAACCACCACCTCCACAATACCAACTACAACACCATCAACACATTCTCTAACACGAAAACAATCAAACACCAACCACTACCTCCGCAACACCACCACCGCTAAATATCCACCAGCACATCTTTCAACACAAACACAATCACACACCAACCACAACCCCACACATCCACCAACACATCCTCTAATACACACACAACTACACACCAACTACCACCTCCACATACAAGCCAACCTATACCGCCAACAAACATCAAAGGTAAAAATAAAACCCCACGCCATATTTTTCATTTGATGCAGTTACATACTGGGTACCTGAAACATTGCTATAAACAAATCAAGCACTCTCTTTTAGCCATTTGTCAAATTTTCACTCAAACATCAATGATAAAGATAAAACCCCATCATATTTTTTTCATTTGAGACTACTTTATACAGGACACCCAAAACATTGCTATCAAAAAATCAAGCACCCTCTTTCAGTTATTTCTCAAATTCTTACTCAAACATCGAAGGTAAACATAAACCCCCAACTCATATTTTCATTTGAGGATATTACATACAGACACCCGAAACATTGCTAACAACAAATCAAGCACAACCCTCTTTCATCCATTTTTCAAATTATCACTCAAACATCATTGGTAAAGATAAAAACCAATTCTATATTTTTCATTTGACGATACTACATACTGGACACCCGAAACATTGTTATAAAAAAATCAATTCAAATTCTCACCGAAACATCAAAGGTAAAGATAAAACCCCACCCATATTTTTCATTTGAGGATGCTACATGCAGGGCACCTGAAACGTTGCTAACTACAAATCAAACACTCTTTTTCAACTATTTCTCAAATTCTCACTCAAACATCAAAGGTAAAGAAAACCTCATTCCATATTTTTCATTTGAGGATACTACATATATGACACCCGAAACATTGCTATCAACAAATCAAGCACCCACCCTCTTTCAGCCATATCTCAAATTCTCACTCAAACATCAAAGGTAAAGATAAAATCCAATCCTGTATTTTTTATTTTTAACAAATTTACAATGGTTTGATTGCCGCAACAATAAATGCATCGGTTTTGAGTGCTATGTATGTAATTTACCCAGAACATTGCTATCTACAAATCAATCACACTCTTTTATCCGGTTTTCAAACACTCACTCAATAATGATAAAATTCCATCCCATATTTTTCATTTTTAACAAATTCACAATGGTTTGATTGTGGCAAGCGTAAATGCATCGGTTTTGAGTGCACTGTATGTAATTTACCCAAAACATTGCTATCTACAAATCAATCACACTCTTTTATCCGGTTTTCAAACACTCACTCAAACATCGAAGGTAATGATAAAATCCCATCATATGTTTTTCATTTTTAACAAATTCACAATTGTTTGATTGTGGCAAGCGTAAATGCATCATTTTTGGGTGCTCTACATGTAATTTTTCCAAAACATTGCTATCAACAAATCAAACACGCACTCTTTCATTCATTTTTCAAATTCTCACTCAAACATCAAAGG